TATAAATGGAATCATACAATATGAGGCCTTTTGAGTCTGGCTTCTTTCACTGAGCACACTGTTTTTCAAGGCTTATACTATAGCACGTATCAGTACTTTGCTCTGTTTTGTACGGTTATACCACAGTTTGTTTATCCATTCATCAGTTGATGGACATTTGTCTTGTTTCCACTGTTTGGCTATTAGGAAATGTGCCACTATGAACACTTGTGTACAAGTTTTTGTATGGCTTATGTTTTTAATTCTCTTAAGTATATACTTAGGAGAGCACCTGCTGGGTCATAGGGTAATTCTGGTCTATGTTGTGTGGTATTCTGGAAATTATGGTCTACTTTACCAAAGCATACCATGTTTGGGTAAAGTAGAAAACCAGTTGACTCTGACTCATGGTGACCCCGTGAGTGTCAGAGCAGAAATGTGCTCCAGGGTTTTCAATGGCTGATTTTTCAGAAGTAGATCACCAGGCCTTTCAACTGAGGCACCTCTGGGTGTACTTGACCCTCCAACCTTTCAGTTACCAGCTGAGCATGTTACTGTTTGTACCACACAGGGACTCCTGGTAAAGTAGAGGGTCAGCAAAAATGAGAGAAACCCTCAATGACATGGATTGACACAATAGTCACAACAATGGATTCAAACATACCAGTGATCATGAAAATGGTGCAGAACGGGCAACGTTTTGTTCTGTTATACGTAAGGTTGCAATGAGTCGGAGCTGACTTGCCGGCCGCTAACTACAACAGCATGGTAATTCTATGTTTAACTTTTTTTGAGGAACCTCCAAACTATCTCTGCAGCAGCTGCACCATTTTACATTCCTACTGGCAATGTACAAAGGTTCCAATTTTTCCACACCCACGCCAACACTTGTTATTATCTGTATTTTTGATCATAGCCATCCTAGTGGGTGTGAAGTGGTATCTCCTTCTAGTTTTGATTTGCATTTCCCTTTTGACTAATGATGATGTGCATCTTTCCGTGCACTTGTTGGCCGTTTGAATCTCTTTGGAGAAACGTCTATTAGATCCTTTGCCTGTTTTTTAATTGGGTTGTTTGTCTTTTTACTGTTCACTTGTGTCGCTGCATATTATAGAGGGGAAACCGAGGCTCCAGAAGGGAATGTGACTAGGCCAAGAATGCTGGGATTGAGAATGGAATGGCTTGATTCCCTGCCTCCCAACCAGCAAGTTGGGGCCACTTCTTGCAGCTCTGAGCCCCCTCCACCCCATGGAGCCGGCTTCCTGCCTCTATTTTGGATCTGCCTCCCAGGCCCATCCCAAGTCCTGTCCTTGCATTTAAAGGGGCAGGGCCCCCCAGCCAGATAGTGGGCCGGAAAGGCAAGGAAAGAGCAGTTCTGAGGAACCAAGATGCTCCTCTTCCTCTCGCGAATCACGCGGCCCTGGCTGACGTGGCCCGGGAGAAGGAGGCAGCCTGGCCCTGCGGTCAGAGCCTATTTATACCGACTGGGCCGTGTTGCAAGCTTTTCCTGGTGGCAAGAGGGACGTCACAGGGTGCTGACCTCACCAGAAATGCTGACGCATCTTCCCCTTACACTTTGCTTGGATGGACAGCCAGTTCTCCTCACCTGGGGCCACTCCCCGTCCTCCGTGCCAGGGGTGAATAAGCCAACAAGCAAGGTAAGCATGCTGCTTACCTTGCTTACCAGATCATCTGCAGTGAACAATTTCACTGCAGATTAGTAAGTGAGCACAAGTAAGCCCGTGCTTACCTTGCTTACCAGGTCATCTGCCTCTGTCAGGGATTGTGAATTTGAAAAGATGCTTTGATTCTGTAGGAAGGTACTGTGGGATTGGGAGAGAGACAGAAGCTAGCCATACCTAAAAGCAGAATCCTTGATGTGTTGAAAAATGTGAAATTGTTCACTACAGATGATCTGGTAAGCAAGGCAAGCACGGTGCTTACGTTGCCTATTGAATAATCCACCCCTGCTCCTGCCCATCAGCGCCTCTCTCACGCTGGCTGGGAGCTCCCACTGAACTCTGGGCCCAAGAGGACTCCAACCACACCATCCTCTTGCAAGCCCTTCCTTGTCTTTGGTAACCTGGTCCCCAGGGCTGCACACACCACCCTAATTAACCAAATGCTCAGAGTGCTCAACCTCACCTCTCTGCGGCTTGGAGGCCTTTTACCTGAGGAGACAACATGGCCCCCCAGCCTGGTGGAAGGATGAAATAAGGTGAAAACGCTTGGTTACCCAAGTGAGCGTGGAGGTCGAGCAGCAGCAGCTGCAATGATCACTCTAGACGTGGCGTGCACATTACTGTCTTTATAAACCAGAGTGCACTTGGCATTGCCCTGGATGTCAGTTACTTGTGCTGTCTCGGGTGGGAGAGATGGGGGTGGAGTACTAGCCCACCCATGAGGAACTTCAGTGACCTGCAGCCATCTGGGCCCTGGCCTACTCAGAGTCGGTGACTAAGAACCAGCAGGAGGTCCTGACACGGCCACCACCCCGGGGAGGGCTCTTGTTGTTAGCTATCATCAAGTTGGCCCCCTGAGTCATGGTGACCCCATGTATTACAGAATGGTCCTCTGCCATCTCATGATCGGCTGAGGACAGGACCATTTGTGGTTTTCATTGACTGAATTTCAGAAGTAGTTCCCCAGGTCTTTCTTCCTAGTCTGTCTTAGTCTGGAAGCTCTTCAGAAACCTGTTCAGCATCACAGCAACACAAAAACCTCCACCGACAGATGGGTGGTGGCAGGGACAGATAACCCGATAAGCAAGGTATGCTTACTTGTGCTTACTTATTAATCTATAGTGCACAATTTCAGCTGTTTTTCACCACGTCTTTGAAATGTTCGCAACGTTTCACCCACGTGAAATTGTTCTCTACAGATTAGTAAGTAAATATGAAAAAGTCCCTGTATACCTTGCTTAATGTAAGCCCTTTCGTACCTTGCTTGTTGGTTAATCGGCCCCTGGGTGGTGGCTGTGCATGAGGGGCATTGGCCGTGAATTGAACCCGGGTCTCCCACATGGAAGGTGTCATAGATTGAGTTGTGTCCCCGAAAAAATATGTGTGTCAATTTGGCTAGGCCGTGATTCCCAGTGTTGTGTCGTTGCCCTCCATTTTGTGATTGTAATTTTACATTGAAGAGGATTAGGGTGGGACTATAATATCACCCTAACCCAGGTCACATCCCTGATCCAATATAAAGGCAGTTTTCCTGGGGTGTGGCCTGCACCACCTTTTATCTCTTATAAGAGATAAAAGAAAGGGAAGCAAGTGGAGAATCGGGGACCTCATACCATCAAGAAAGCAGTGCTGGGAGCAGAGTGCATCCTTTGGACCTGGGTCCCTGTGCCAAGAAGCTCCTAGTCTGGGGGAACACCGAAGAGAAGAAGGCCGACAGAGAGAAAAAGCCTTCCCCTGGAGCTGATGCCCTGAATTTGGACTTTTAGCCTACTTTGACTGTGAGGAAATAAACTTCTCTTCGTTAAAACCATTCGCTTGTGGTATTTCTGTTATAGCAGCACTAGATAACTAAGACAGAAGGCAAGAATTCTACCTGCCTGGAATTTCTGTGCATTTAGTCCTATTCAGGGTAGGCTGGGCACGCATCTGACTTGGCTAAAAGCAGTTTGAGGTTCCTTGGCTTTCGGGCCCCTCTTCATGTTCGGCCTGACAGCCTGCTCGGAGTTTGGCAGAGCTGGCCTCTGTCGAGGGGCAACAAGCTCTCTAGCCAGGATTACCTCCCTGCTTTGAGCTGCCCTGAGCTTTTCCCGAGCTTCACGTCCTCACTGAGATGAGCCCAGGCAGCGCTGCCGTGCCTCTCTCCCCTCCAGGCTGTTGCAGGGCTTGGAGAAGATCAGGGATGTGAAATCGAGAAGGATTCGGGCTTGGCACGGAGCCCCAGGAAAGGGCGTTGTAGGGGTGGGGGCCCCCAAGGTGAGGAATTTAGTAGAACCAACATAAAAAGCACTGTGGGGGTGGGGGCCCCCACGATGAGGAATTTAGTAGAAGCAACATTCTCGGGATGAGAATCCAGAACTGGCCCATGGGGGTGGCGGTGGTGGGGGACTGGGCCTGGAGTAGGAACACCATGTTGGGATGACAGGGAGTAGAGGAGGTGAAGGAAGCCTCATGGGTGTATGGGTGTACCTGCCTGGGTGATTGCTGGATCTTCAGTACCTGGGAGTGGCTGGCACAGAGTGGGCCCAATAAGAGTTTGTTGAGTGAGTGTGTCAGTGATGGAGAGCCTGGGTGCAGCCTCGGTGGTCGTGAAGAACACCAGGGACTGGGGTGGGCAGGAGCGCATTCAGCCATACTCCTTTCTGGCTACCTTAGTTACCTAGTCCAGGCTCCACAGGCCCAATGCTCCCTCAACTGGAGCATCTCAGGCCTCCCTAGCAGCCCCCAAGGAACCCGCCCCAACTTCCCAGGTCTCCCCTAGCCGACTCATGAGGGTACAGGACAAGGACCCCCTTCTGGGCCTGGCAGATGTGCCAGCCCCTTTGTCTCCTATCTGCTCTTGCCCAGGCCTCGGTTTACCCCATGGTAAAGTAGCAGGTTGACGAGGGAGGAGCCTTCTCTGGGGCCCCTTCACGCTCTCATTCTGAGGTCTACAAGAAGTAAAGGCCGTCCTACAATCGATCGCTATCTTTCAGAGAAAGTGAAACCTGGTCCCCAACCGTCACCTCAATGACTCCTCCTCCCTGGCTTCCCCTCTAAGCTCACAGCTTCCCCATCTCCTCCACCCCCAACCCCACCCCTTGACAGCCAATACTTGGAAGTAGACTTTCATTTTTTCCTATCCCTTCAAAGGTCTTTTGCCTTTTATGTCCATGAGAGCAGCAGCCCTGTGAGGTGGGCTGGGAAATGCTTTCTCTTCCCCGTATTACAGGTGGGGTCTCTGAGGCCCAGAGAGGTTGGGTGACTTGCCCCAGGTCACACAGCATGTCAGCAGGCTTGAATCCTGCTCTCCCATTCCTCTTGCTCCCAGTGCCTGGTTGTCCCCAGATGGTCTGTCTGTTGAGAAGGGATGGGAAGGCCGGCTGGGTGGCGGATGCATGGTGGGAGAAAGAAGACATCTGAGTTGGGGGATGCCGGTCAGGGGGCCAGACCACAATCTCGGGGCTGCCAGCCAGAGTCTGGCTCTGTGCCCAGAGCCTGGTGGTTTCCGCTCACAGATGTCCCAACAGCCCTGGCAGAAGGGCGGGAGGGCACTCAAGAAGGAGGATGTCTTGCTCCCCTCAGCCCCAGACCACAGTGCCCTGGAGGTGGTGGCCCCTCGGCTGAGCCGGCCGGGCCCTCCAGGGCCCTAGCTCACAGACTCTCCCTCTCCTGGGCAGGCCCTTGCAGGTGGCATGGACCCCATGCACTTCCCTCGCCTAGGAAGGCTGAGGCTGCGGTTTGCATCATCCCTGGGCGTGGGGCTGACCTCGAAGAACAGATTCGAAGAAAACAGGAGGAGGAGCAGACATGGACCACGCCCAGCGCCCATTGGCCGCCTTTGGAGAATTTGGTTTTGGGGTCATGTTCCCAGAAGGCCTGCCCTCCCCCTTCCCCCTCCCCACCCACCTCACGAGGTGTTGGCCAATCGCTCCAGCGGGCATAAAGTGGCGGCTGGCCCACAGGGCTCCCAGGCTGAAGCTGTCACCCCCAGCAGGCACAGGCCAGAGCTCTGGCACCCAGCATGCAGGTACAGCTCATAAGGAGGACGCTGCTCGGTGAGTGCTTCCTTCCTCCCCACCAGCACCTGATTCTGCACCCACTGGCACTGTCGGGGAGCAGGTGGGCACCCTCTGCCCTCCGGGAGCTGGTGGGGGGGGCACTGGGCAGAAGGATGCTGAGAAGGGAGAGAGCCAGGAGGTCAAAAGAGGGGCCCACTGAAAACCAGGTGCCCATAGGGTGGAGAGGGGGCATCTGGAAGGTTTCCAGGGGGAGGTGATGTACAGCCAACTCTGGGATCGAGGGAGTGAGGGAAGAGTGGGTGGGGGACAGGGCGGGGAGGCAGGAGGTAGGAGCTGTGCTGGGCAGAGGAGGAAGCTTGCAGAAACGGCAGGAAAATGGTGCAATTCTGGAGGGGCTATGGGGCCTCCTCTGAGCAGGTGAACGGCGCCTTCTTCCATGATTCGGTGGTCTGGGAGGATAGAGACAGTCAGCCAGGCCTGGGCTGGGGAGCCCACACAATCCCACAGCACACATAGCCACGCCCACACGGCGACACACACACACTTGAGCCACATGACGTCACCCAAAGCCTCAATCTCACCAACCCAGGAACCCCACATGCAGGCCTGGCCCCACCATTCACTCCACGTGAGGACAGCTACCACGGTGCACCTCACACAGACACGTAGTCCGCACACATGGACCCTCTCACCTGAGCCAGGCAGCAGACCCCTGGGGAGATGGCCAAGGGTGGTGACCACGTCGGGAAGCCCAGCTCCTCAAGCCGCAGTAGCCAGCCTGCCTGGCGGACTGAACGGTTCTCAGGAAGGGATGATGGTGTCACTGCCTTCCGGGCCCTTGCGCCACAGGTTTCTTCAGACCACGTGGCTGCCGGTGCCCTGTGGGGGATGGGGGGGCGGCCGAGCCATGACTGTGCTGCCCTCTGGAATGTTCTGAGGGGCTCCTAGCATTCCCGGTGGAATGGAGAGAGAAGGGGGGCTGGGGTTGGGAGAGCAGGGCAGCCCCTCTGTGAAGCAGGGGCATGGACAGATGGTCTCTAAAAATCCTTTCCAGGTGGTTCCGCAGACACAGCTTACGGGCCAGACTGTTTCCGGGCTGCCCACCTGAAGCCCTCTTGTGCACTTGAATCGACGGCTGAGTCTGTTGCTGGGGCACAGGGGGCCTGACAAGGCAGGGCAGCAGCCATCCCTTAGCCCAGGGTCGGGCAGAGCACCAGCCCCTCCTGCGCTATCTGTGTAAGCGAGAGAGGTCAGCAGGTGCTGCAGGCGTAACTGGCAGGCACAGGAGCTCCCGTGGGCTCCACAACTTCCCTTCAATGGCCTACTTGGCAAGTTGCAGCCACTGTTCTTTTGGGTCCTGGGCAGTGAGTCACTGGGGCGGTGGTGACGGCCCCAGCAGGTGGTCATGTACACCCCATGCCCCGCAGGACTCAGCCCTTGATGGCACAAACCTGGGATGGAGGGGTGGGCCCTCTGACGCCCTCTGAGCCCCCTCTCCTCTGAAAGCTGCCTCAAGGTCCTACCTGCGGCTTCCTCTCCAAGGCAGGTGACGTCTCCTTCTCTGCCCCAGGTCTGGTCCTCGGACTCCTGTTGCTGAGCACGGTGGCCATGGGTAGCTGCTCCGGCAAGTACCAAGTCCTCCTTGGCCAGCTGCAGCAGCAGGCAAAAATCATGCAAAACACCGACATGCTCCTGGACCCCTATGTGAGCACCTGCCCCCTTATGGCGTCTGAGACCCAGGGACCTTGGAGGGGTGGGATAGGAGTGAGCACTGGGGGGATCAGGCTCACCCCTCACTGGTCCAACACACTCACTATGAGGTGAGTGGGGAAACTGAGTCCCTGTTCTATTCCCGGGCCACACTTGGTCGACTGGAGTGTAAGTCCCAAGCCCACGACCTCGTCTGTCCATTTTTCCAGTGTAGGTTCATCGTGCACCCACCACGTGCTTTGTTCTAGGCACAGGATGCAGCAGTGAGCCAAACGGAGTCCCGCCCTCTTGAAGTTCATGGTCACCTCTCCAACACCCCCACGCACAATCACTCCCGGGCGGTCATCTCCCCTGGCCCCCAGCATCACTCCGACCCTGTTTGAGTGACCCGAGAGAGTCTGATCCCCTCTTAGACCTCAGTTTCTGGACCTGTACAATGGGAGGAATGAATAGGGAGGCCCGTAAGGGCTAGAGCAGACTTGGCTCTGTGTGCATGTGGGAGGTGGGGACTCCAGCATTTATTCCTTGATTCTCCTTTCCCTCAGATCCGAATCCAAGGCTTGGACAAGCTCAACCATAAAGAGTACTGCAAGGAGCGCCCCGGGGCCTTCCCTGGCAAGGACGCCCTGCGGGGGCTCAGCAGGTGGGGCTTCCTGCAGACCCTCAACGCCACCCTGGGCCTTGTCCTGCACAGATTGGCTGCCTTCCAGCAGAAGGTGTGTAATCTCACCAAGGACAAGGATCAGGACTGGAAGACACTGTGCCAAGCAGAGCTCTACATCCGTGGGATTAGGAACAACATCTTCTGCCTGACCCGGCTCCTCAACCTCAATGGCTCCTCAGAGGTTTTTGCGCCCACTTGGGCAGGCCCAAGGACCTTGCCATGGCCCACCCCCTCCCCAGGTGCCTTCAACCGCAAGATAGACGGCTGCAAGTTCCTGCAAGGCTACCATCGCTTCATGCACTCGGTGGGGCAGGTCTTGGGCGAGTGGGAGGAGGGTCCAAGCCGGACCCGGAGACACAGCCCCTTCTGGGCTCCGCAGGGGCGGGCTGGCAGGACGAGACCCTCCAGGAGGGCCAAGAGGCCTATGCCCAGGGGGCTGCTGCCCCCGTAGCCTTTGGGATGTCCCTCGAAGATGGAGGATGCTCTATGGACGGGAGGAACCAGTGCCAGGTACAGGGTAGGTCTCCCCAGGGTCTCCAAACCTGCTCCCGTTGATTCTCCGCCACTCAAAAGTGCACTTTAAGGGGTGGTAGCTGAGCAAGCCTCCCTTCTACTTCCTCTGGATTAAGGGGGAGGGTCAGGCCCTGGGGCCCCCAGCCCCGAGTTCCCGATGGGGGGGTGGCTGGGTCAGGCCACGTGGTGCCACCTCTCCATTGATTCAGGGGTCTGATGACACAGACTGACTCATGGCTGGGCTAACCAGCCCCCTACCCTGCTTGGTGGAGGCCTGCGGCCCTTAGCTTCATGACTTGCAGGCCTGTTGCACCCAGACTTTCTCCTTTCCCTGGTGTCGTAGTTCCGAGTTGTGGTGGGGGGGTCAGGGCCTGAGCCGGCCTCCTATGCCTCACTGCCAGGCCCAGTCCAGATACCTGGACATCTGGAGGACCTCACTTTAGGCAGCTGTAGTGGGGCAGGGTGTCCTAGAAATGGCACTGATCTGGGGGTCCAAAGCTCAGCCCCGAACTCTCTGTGTGACCTCGGGCAAGCCACTTTACCTCTCTGGACCTCAGTCTTCTCTTTGTGAAGCAAGGGGGTTGGGCCCCTCTGCCTGTCAGTTACTGGGACTCTGTGTCATAGAGCGAATATCAAATTATTTCTGTAAATCAGAACACATGGTGCAAATAGACATGGGGTGCAGAATGAATTATCTTAGGAAAAGGAGACCTCCTGGCACCCAGAAACGTCCAGTCTTGGGTCCTGGCTGCCAGCTGCTCCCCCTGGTGGCATTTGGTGGAATTTCCTCATGCTGAAACCACTGCCCTGCTGGAGTGGGGGGGCCAGCAGCTGCTGGGGCAGTTCTCCAGAGGGCATGACTAATTTATCGATTTTTACCAGTTTTTATCAGTTCTGTATTTATAAAGCTTATTTATAATGTGTATTTAATGTTAATATTGTGCCAACATATATTTAAAACTTGTATGTATTTAAAAGTAAAGCCCTTATGTCTCTCTGTTGCTATGTGGGAGGTGACTTGGGGGGGATCCTCTGGTGGCAAGGCCACAAGTGTCCTTGACCTGAGCACTGGGCTGGAGATCCTTTCCCTGTCCAGGAAGTCACATGCCCCAGCCGGCCCAGGGCTCTGTCTGTGGGAACACACACAAGGAGTTCTCAGATCTGAACAGGACTCCCCGGAGTCTTTGGGGTTGTGGGGAGTTGGGGTCAGGGAATGAGAAGGGCAAGAGGAAGGCTAGTGTGTGTGGGTTGAATGTGGGTGTCGTGGGTGTGTGGCTGGAGGTGCATGTTCGTGTGTGTGTTGATGCCTGTTTCCTCGTCTTGAAGCCTGGATGTAAGTGTCCTAACGAGTACTTACGTCTGTGAGTATCTGTGAGCGTTCTGTGTATGTGTGTGTGTGTATCTGGTTACACCTCTGCACATATGCCCCTGCAAGTGTAAATGTGTGCTTGTGTGCCATTGTGTACTCACGAATGTATATTTTCATGTATTTTCCTGGAGGGACATGGGTACATCTGGCGCCTGGATCACTGCAGGTGCCTGGAGCACTTGTGGAATGAGTCAATGGATGAGCTCACACCCCTGCCAGCAGCATACTGCAAATCTTCCTGGGCACGCAGAGATACAAAGCTTGGCTGTATGCACGGAGCAGTAGAGCACCTAGGGGAGGAAGCCCAGTACTCGGAGTCAGACACAACTGGCTGGGTTCAAAATCCCAGCTCAGCCCCTTCCCATCTGTCTGGGTGACCTTGGGCAAATGATTTAATGCTCTGAGCCTCAGTTTCCTCATCCATGAAATGAACAAGATCATAGTAGTCCCCACCTCAGGCCTATGATAGCACCTGGCACATAGTATGTACTCGAAACTGGTTCCTGAAGGGCCTCAGGGGCTTAGGGATTCCATCTGGCCTCCAGAAAACTGGGCTCCCTCCCAATGCCCAGGGTCCCTCCTTAGGAGGGACAACCACAGGCCAATGACATCCTGAGGCAGCAGCTGAACAAGGAAGGACCAACAGAAGCAGTTGGACTTGACCTCAAGCGGTCCCTGACCACCACCACTTCCTAGGGATGGAGGCGAGGTGGGAGTGGGACTTGGTTTCAGGGGTGGAGGGGAGCCCCATGTGGGCCATTCTGGGAAGAGTAGGAAGGCCCTCCTGGCCCCAGGCTGCCTCTGCTGCTCTCCTCTAGGGGCGTATTCTCCAGCCCCTTGGAAGGCAGACCCCAAAGGGAGGAACCACGGCATAGGCACGTTTCAGTGGTGGGGAGAGGAGGCGAGAGGAGCTGGGGAAGCCCTCAAAGGGGCCCTGAAAGACCAGTGTGGGTCCCTAGTGGGTGCTTGTTGACTGTGGGGTGCTGAATGGGAAGGACATGTAGGGGCTTGGCAGGGTCTCAGGGTTCTGGAGCCCTGGTCCAGGCCTAGCTCTGAGTCTCTCTGGACAGCACCTTTCTCTCTCCATGTGTGCCTCGGATTCCCCATCTCTAAGGGCTGGCCTGACATTCTAGGATGGTTCTTCTGGGAGCATGGGTAGGCTCCCTGCTCCTCACTGCTGGAGCCTGCGAATCAGTGGTGGGGGTACAGGGTGGGCCTGCACGTTGGGGCCTCCCTCTCTGACCCCTTCCCCTCCCCACTCTGGAACACAGATCCTGGGGGAGAAGTATGGGGATGGCCTGCGGCCAGGGTGTGGGGTGAGAGGTGTATGTAAAGACAGCTGAAGCCAGGGCTGCCCCAGGGCTGAGCAGACCCAACGCCCCCAATCTCTCCTAAGTGGAGTAAGCATTGCCCCCTCTAGGTGTTTTCTACAAGGTACAAATTATCAGGACCCTCTGACTCCCTACGAAAGAGGACTAGGTGGGAATTCATTTATTAGCTTTTTTTACCCCCCAGGACACTGAGGGAAGCCACCACAGAACAGGAAGTGGCAGGGAGAAGACAAGGGTGGGGGAAGACAAGTGACTGTGCAGGGAAGGCTGGGCCGAAGAAGCCACCGAGTCTAGGCTGAGTGCCCACCAAGTGCACGATGCTGGGTTGGTGCCATGCCTGCATTTTCTCTTCTGATCTCATTACCATCCTCTGTGATAGACATGATCCACTTTGCGGTTGAGAAGATTGAGGCTCAGTGAGTTTGAGTGACCAGCCCACATTCTCTGAGCCGGTTAACTTGGGAGGGGGTTGGTGCACAGTTTGAGTCCAGGTTCCGTGGACTCCACGGTGAGAGCATCATCTTCCTGTCACTGCTCAGCCTCTGGAACTTGGCTGGTACTTTCCTGAGTCCCTGCAGGCACAGAGCTCCTGGCCAAAGGGGCAGACAGACAAGACACAGCAAAAGACTTGCAGTGAGATTTCAGTGAGAGCTCAGCGAAAATAAAGCAGGGTGATGAAATCGAGTGAGAGTCGGGTGACGCGAGTGGTCAGGGTGGCTTCTGGAAGAGGTGACTTCCACACTGTGGCCTGAGTGACGTGCAAGAGAGATGATGTCCATGTTATGGCCTGAGCCGTGGATGTGCAGGAGAATGGACGGAGCCTCCAGGTGGCAGGAACAAGTAGGGCACAGGCTCCTGGCACCCAAGGATCAGAGTATAGTGAGCGAGGGCATCACTGACTTGTGAAAAAGGCCCAGAGATGGAAAGTGTGTGTTCAAGGTCAAATACTGAGTTAGTGCAGGGCTGGGGCTAGAACTCTGGGCCTGTAAATCCCTACCAGCAGTCTTTCCACACAGTTGCCCATGTATTCCAGGCTGTTTACCAGTACCTAGGAAGGGTTGTGGAAACCCTGGTGGCGTAGTGGTTAAGAGCTACGGCTGCTAACCAAAAGGTCAGCAGTTCAAATCTGCCAGGCGCTCCTTGGAAACTCTAGAGGGCAGTTCTACTCCGTCCTATATGGTCGCTATTAGTTGGAATCGACTTGATGGCAACAGGTTTTTTTTTTTTGGAGTAAGGGCTCTCAGCTGACCTCATCGGCCTTCCCCTCGCCCTCTGGGCTCCTGCCCTACTGGCAGCCTTTGGGTTCCCGAAATGCCTGTGCTCTCTCCTGCCACAAGACCTCTGCTATGCTGTACTCTCTGTCTGGAATGCTGTTCCCTATTATTTTTACCAAGTTAACTCCCTATCCCCCTTGTCAGATCTCTGCTCAAGGGCACGTCTTCAGCAATTCCCCCGTTTGCCCATGGTCTGGGTCCCACCTGGGGCCCTCACTCGGGGTTTGTCATTGTGCCTTCATCAGTGTCGTTTGCAGTAATGTCTGCCTCCCTAGCTGGTCTGGAGCTGCCAAGGATGGAGACCACATCTGCTTCGCTCCCCTGTATCCCAGCCCCCAGGGCAGTGTCTGACACAATGAGGCACAGGCAGACCCAAAGGGAAGGACAGAGCCGAGTGTGTCGATGAGGCGCGTAGAGGCAAGGAACAGCATGGTGGGGAGCCTGACTTAGTCCAGTGCCACCCCAGGGCCAGCCTTCTGGGCTTCAGGGCAAGCACACATTTCTGCCCTGCCCCAGCATGTGAAGGAGAGGGGAGGGGAGGGAGGTTCCTCAGCCCTGGCTGCTGGGAAGCTGTGGTTGGGAGGTGGCAGCCACCAAAAGCTGGGCACGTTCCCGAAGCGGAAGGGGAGTCGAGCTGTGGCTGGTGCTGAGGTTGCCCACAGGGAGGGCAGAAGTTGGTTTGCTGAGGAAGAGATTTGAAGCCAGTGTGGCTGCCTCCCTCGCCTCCCCACCCCCCTGGACGAACCCCTCCCCAACCCCCTACTCTTTGGATAAGCCCCAAGAGAGGTGCCTCTTTAGAACTAGGGTGGCACCCATCCCACAGGAAGCAGATCAGGGAGCTGCAGACTGGAGGGAGATCTTAGGAGCCCCACCTGTGAGGACTTGTCACGTCAGCTCTGTCTCCTGATGAGCCCACAGCTGCAGCAGACCCAAACCACCATCTCCAGCTCAGATCCACAGACCGCATGACCAGGAACATTTCTGCTGGGGGCCCTGTTTGTACCTCAAGGCCAAACTCACTGACCCCCGCCCCCAGCCCCTCGTCTGCTTTCTGCTTCCTATTTGCCTCACAGAAGTTCCAGAGTCCCAGCCCCTTCTACCTGGGCCTCTTCTCTCCCCACTGACCCCTAAAGCTTGTGGTTTCTCCCACACAGTGTCTCTTTCACCGGCTTCCTTCTCTCCCATGCTGGAAAATTTGGACTAAAATCTCACTACGGTCATGTCCTCTCCTGCTTACAAACCTTTGATGGCTCCTTCCTGTCCCACTGCCCGTAGCATCAACTCCAAACCTCCGTTGCTGCATGCAAGGTCCCAGCCTTCTGGCTGGACTGACTTCGCCAGCTCCTCTGTACTCTTTTCACACTCTAGGGGGCTCCCCAACACACCCCACACATGCTGACACTGACAGTCCCAGTGTTTGCATTGGCCCCTGCCCACTTCTCCTATTCTCTCACCCTGAGGCCGCCTCTTCTTTGATTCCCAATGGGGGGCTTGCCCCTCCTCAGCACTCACAGCTGCCAGTGGGGTTTCCCTGATGCTGCCAGCAGCGGGCAGGATCATTTCTGGAGTCTGTACCTGCTAGGGGCCAAACAAGCCCACCTCTGATCACAGCACATGTTATTGTTACCTGCCTTTGAGTCTGCCCTGACTCTTGGTGACCCCATGCACAATGAAATGCTGCCTTGTCCTGCGATATCCACATGATGGAGTTTGGATCAGACCATTATGACCCACAGGGTTTTCATTTGATAATTTCTAGAAGTAGATCAGCAGGCCTTTCCTCCTAGTCTGTCTTAGTCTAGAAGCTCCTCTGAAATCTGTTAGGATCCTAGCAACTCAAAAGCCTCCACTGAGGGGCAGGTGGTGGCTGTGCATGAAGTACCTTGGCTGGGAATCGAACCCAGGTCTCCTGCATGGAAGGTGAGAATTCTACAACTGAACCAGCATTGCCTCATGAGCACAGCACATAGGATGAATGAACTGGGGTTTTCATGACCAACAGC